TCTTGAAATTTTGGATTGTTTTGGGAATATTAAGACAACTTAATTGTTTTGTAAACTTTGTAAAACAATACCGAGATAAAAGTTATATAAATTCGATGTATTTTCCTTATTATAATTCAGTGTGTAAAAATACTTCTTCAAGAACAAGTTTGGCAGGAAATTTTATTAATGATTTGTTCGACGTGTTTGATGTTAAATTTGATGATTTCAATAAATTGGATTATTTGTTTGATTATTTTTTGGAAGGAAAAATGAACCGTAACATAGTTAATTTTATGATGAAAGGTTTTAACATTGGTTATTCTATTCAGAAATTTGTCGATAAACAAACTTTGAAAATAACAACAACCGAAATTTTTTATAAAAATGTCACGTTAAAATTGATGGGTGAGCTTGTGGCGTTTTATGCATTACTATTTTTAAATACAAAAAAATACACGGGGTTGGAATTTAACAAAAACAACTTTCCTTATTTATATCGAATTTGTGCTGTGATAAAATCGATATTCCCAACTTCTGTCCTTTCAGAATGTGGGTTTTCAACAATGGCAAATATAAAAACAAAATATAGAAACAAAATGTTAAACGACTACCTTGAAGCACAAATAAGAATCGCATTGTGTGGTAATTTTGACATTTGTGAAATTGTTAAAAAATACAAATTAAAAAATATCGATAAATATGATATCAATGATATAAATGTATTAGAAAATTTGGAAAACGAGTTCAAATAATGCATAATGTATCTTTGCTAAAGTATGAATTATGTTAATGATATAATTAATTGAAGTTAATATCATTTTGAAACAAATGTTTAATTGTTGCTTTAAATATTTATGTTCAGTGTTGTTTTATTATTTTTTAGCGTTTATTTGATCAAAAACGGTTTAATAATAATAAATTAATTATAACCACAAATAATTAATTTAAAATATAAAAAATAATGTTTTTTTTAATAATGTAGTTAAACTTTTATATAAATGATAAATATAATATTTTATGTATATATAAATAAAATATTATATATATTATATATACATAAAAATTATGTACAAATAATATAAAACTCAATTCTTTATGAAAAACATTTTTGGGATACAAGTTTATTATTTTCAATAAAACAAATAAACAATTCGTACAATTCGTTTTATATTTTTATTTAACCAAAGATTATTGGTATTTAGTTGTTTGTTTAGTTTTTTTACAGTTTTTGAACTGTTTTTGTTGGATTATTATTATTTCAATAAAAAACAAAAAGACAAAAAATAATTTACTTGACAACTCGAAAATAATGCAACTAAGTTACAGTTCTCAAAAAATTTGCACGTTTGTTCAAAAGGAAGATCGCTGACCTTACGATTCTTTTTTTTTTCTTTTATAAAACATTTTTTGAAAAAAAAATGTTTTGTTGATAAAAACACCAATTCCGTTAGTGTTTTAATTAAAACATTTCCAAAAGTTGAAGAAAAAAGGAAAACCTATAAATTATTGTTTGCGCAATTGGTTTGTTTACTGTTTACATTTCATAAGAGTAGCCACAAGGTAAGTTTTTTGAATATCATATCAAGTTCAAAAAATAAAAATTTGTGTTTTATTTAAAATATTGTTTTAATAAAAAATAAAAATATATAACATAATTAATAGTATGTGAGTTTTAATTGTTATGAAATAAAACTCATTATCAATTCATTTTTAAGGAATTAAAAATTACAAATAAAAACATTTGTAAAGACATAGAAAACATAATATTTGTTCCAATGTTGTAACTTGTAAAGACAAAACAAAGAGATGGAGGATGGAGACTTTGAGAAATTGGATATTGATGGATTGTCTGAAAAGGTCGAATATATAATTGGGAAAGGCCATCATTCAGTCATTTGTAGGAGTGGAGATTATGTATTAAAAATCATTCCATTCACTGAAAGGGGGAAGAAGGAGATACAGAACATGCAAAGGATCAACAAACTTCTCAGAGAAGAGATGTGTACCTTTGCACGACTAAAAAAGATCATCATTTTTCAATTAGCAGAATCCCTTGAATTGGTAGACTTGAGTAATTATGTTACTAATGATGTAGTCTTATCAGTTGAAAATGTCCACAAGAAAACAATTCCAATTGGGAAGTATTATGGACTTAAAATGGAAAATGGAGGAATACCTGTACATCTTGTGACACAATGGGAATATAAAGATGTTGTAGAAATGCTCTTTCAAATGTTCTGGAGTCTTGAGAAAGCACAAAACAAATTCAATTTTTGTCATCACGATTTACATAGTAAAAACGTGTTATTCAAAAGAGAGGAAAATGAAATCTTGGACTTCATAAGGGGAAAGATATTCAACTTGAATGTGAAGATTTTGATCATCGACTTCGAGTTGAGCACTTTTGATGTTCAAGACTCATCAGAAGATGCTTTGGGCATATATCACATTCTTAATAATATATCTACAAAAGACTTTACTCAAGAACAAAAAACTGCTTTGAGGAGAATCAAATTTAAACTTGGGAAAGGTTCTGTGTCATATTCAGTTTGTTAATTATTTATTAAATACTTTCTTTTTATTAATTTAAATCAATAACAAGTAGAGTCTAGTTAACGATGAAATGTTTGAATCAATTGGATATAGTCCTCTATTCAAGTGTTGAATGTAAATTGAATATAATTGTTAATCTATTTTTAATTAATTAATTATTATAACGCTATTTATAGAAATAATATAATATTGAAATTATTAATATTATAATTATAATAATATTATTATCAATCCCATTATAAAAGTATTTTAATAAAATAAAAAACTTACATAATATTTTCAAGAACAACCAAATTTTTAACAAAAAATTTTAAAATAAGTATTTTAATAATTAAATTATTAACAAAAAACTATATTAATTATAAAAAACTTCTAACTTGAATTTTTTTTTAAGTTTTGGGTTTTTTTAACAACCATTTGACAATCTTTGTTTTTATTTGACATTTTTAAATAAAATAAAGAATAGCTCAAATAGTATAGTTAAATAATTAAAAAAAGGAAACAAAAATGAGAGTAACGCTGAAAAGATGGGAACTGCCCAAAAAATACAAAAGCAAGAAAAGGAAATACAATTCTATTCGAAATAATAAACTATTAGGAAAAATGGTGGAAAGAGCATCTTGTTGAACTTGAAAACACGTCATTCAACTTGAAAAGAGTTTTGGTTTAAAAAAATAGAGAAATAAAGATAGTATATTAGAAGCTATGAGTGCAGGAAAATCTCCCAAAAATGAGAGGAATGGTGGAACGAACGAAAAGTTAAGGGGAAAAAAGTAACTGGAAAACGAACTCATCTGAAATACTCAATGCGAAGTCGCTCGCGATCGATTCCAGTTGAGCGGGTGGATGTCTCGAAGAGTTATAGACAACAATTGTTGATATCAAATGACCCTCAAACCATCCCACTCCCGGAGAATCCGTGTAAAATTGCACTTCCACCCATCGAAGATAGAGTCTTGACTTCTTCAATGCTTTTCAGTGGAGAGAAAGGGAAACCCAACCTTAAAATACTCAAAGAACACTTGAAAAGACAAGGGAAACTGGAGAAGTACGCTGCCGTTAAATTGATCCGACAAGCAGCAGAGATCTTCAAGAAGGAACCAAACATAATAGAGGTGGAAGCACCGGTAATTATTGTTGGAGACATCCATGGCCAATTCTATGATATGCTCAACTTCATGGACTTACTCGGTTCCCCAGCAGAAAATCGTTTTGTGTTTCTGGGGGACTACGTTGATCGTGGGGACTTTTCGACCGAAGTTATTCTCTACCTCTTTGCACTTAAGATTTGCTATCCAGACAATATCAAAATGCTCAGAGGGAATCACGAGAGTCGACTGATGTGCGAATACATGACCTTTTTGCTCGAATGCCACTGCAAATACACGATTAAAATATACGACGAGTTTGTCGCGTGTTTCGACACACTGCCGTTGGTCGCGCTTGTCTCGAAAAACGTAAACGGAAGGATCTTGTGTATGCACGGAGGCTTGTCACCTTCTATTGGACTTTTGGATGACATTGCGAAGATAAATCGTTTTACAGAACCTCCAAGCGAAGGTTCTTTGTGCGACTTGTTATGGTCAGATCCCATTAGTGAGTGGGACCCCGATTCACCAGAGTGGATCGGGGTGAGTAGAAAAGAGTGGGAAGAAATCACGTTCAGACCGAATAAACAACGAAAAACATCGTACTACTATGGTAAGAAAGCAGTGAATCGATTCCTTGAAGCAAACAACTTGTTCTGTATTGTAAGAGCACACCAAGTACAAGATAACGGATTCAAGGACCATAAATACTTCAACCCTTCTCGACATCTGTCTGAAGTCTTCACTATTTTCTCTGCACCAAATTATTGCGACTATTATAAGAACTATGGTGCTGTTATGCGAATCACAGAAAGACCATTCGACATCAAGACGTTTGTGTGGAAACAACACCCTGTCGTGCTTGAAGATTTCCAAGATGGAATGAGTTTCTCATTGGATTACTTGATGGAGGGAATCATCACTATATTACAAGAACTCATTGTTGGGATTAAAGATGAAAAAAATGTTGGGGATGGAGACGATAAAGATCCACTTATCGAGAAAAGCAAAAAGTTGTTTGCGAAGTCGTCGAAAATACAAGAGAGAAGAGAAAAGTATATGGCGATTAATGATAAGAATTATCACCGTTTGTTATTATACTCTTGTGTTTTTGAAAACTATTCATACCTTTTTTGTTCTGAGTTATTTATAATAATTAATAGAAAACATGACACTGTTTGAGAAAGCGTGCAGCATCGACTCCGAGAACGAATCGTTCCCAACACTCGAGATGATCAACAGGAAGTTCCAACACCATCCTGGAGCTTTAAGAAAAGGAATGTCATCACCCGCATTATTACAGAAGCAAGCGCCAGCTGCTGCTGGGCTTAGCGGACAAATGGGGGGTACGTTAGGTGGAGCTTTTGCTGGTGCGAAAGCTGGGAAAGAGAAAGGTGGTGTTATTGTGTTGAAGAAGTCATGAGGTATTCTATTGAGTTTTTGTTATATTTAGGTAGTGCCCTTTTAGTATTACTTTATAATAAAACAACTAAAAAAAGATAAGAAGGTTGAAGGTGATGGAAACGTTTATCGATACCATCAGTGAGAGTGTTGTTTCCTGTCGAAGTTTGACTATCTTGTCGTCTGGGTATTTACTTCCCCAAACGATATTAAAAAGTGTTTATCGAGATGTCGAGAAGTATGTGCAAGCCAACAAGGAATACCCCAGTATTTTTATAGTGAATGCGCCCCCCCATGTCTATTCGCATTTCCAATCGAATTGTCTTGGTGTCGACAAAAGTGTGAGTGTCATATCCAAAGAGAAGAAACGGCACCGGTCAGGGAGTTTGAGTGAATTAAAGAGTCAGAAAAGTAGCGAACACCTCATACCCTTCGACGACAAAGTTCGTCCGACGAGTTCAACGAATTCGAGTAGTCCGAAGAGTCCACCCCAAGACAAATTGAAATTTCCTCTGATGCAAATAGATTTTCGAATCTCTTCAGAGAGTCGGAAAGAGTTATATAAGAATGGGGGGATTTATTTTATAACATCGCGCATTTTAATCTCCGATTTAATCTCAGAGGACTTCACATGGACGAACACCTTCTTATATTTAGTCGACATCGAAGACGTCATTCGGCGATTTCATTTGTCATTTGTCACGCACGTCTACGCCTCTCTTTTAACTGACAGAAATCGAGTGCGAGCGTTCACACAGAAGGCGCACATTCTTTCGTTCATAGAGACATCATTGGAGCAGATCAAACAGCGACTTTTGATAGAGAAAGTCTTCTTCTATCCTTATTCAAGAGATGAAGCGGTGACTGCGCGAATCAATTTCACGCATTTTGTCGTCTATTCTATTAAAGTTGAATTGACTCTTCATATGCAAATCATCGAACGCGCTCTCTACGAGACGATGAAAGTCATTTCCACAGAGATCCGCGCGCGCCTCAATTTAACAGAAAGTGCTTTACCGGACGAGAAATTGCTCTTTGGGGAGTTTGAGCGGCGTGTGAAATATTATAACCGAGGGTCTCGTTATGACGAGGAAATCAGTTCGATGTGTTTAGACTTGAAATCGCTTCGGACGGTAATGTTCTCGATGTATCTCTTCAATCCTGTTCTGTTCTATATTCAAGTGGAAATCATGCGACTGATGTTGTGGGGGGAAGAATCGTTCTTTTGGCTCGAGAAGAAGAGTATGAGTCTTGTCTTCACTCACGCGAAGGAGAGGATGTGGAACGGCGAGACATTTCAAGTTGAAAAGCAGAAGAAAGTCGAAGAGTTGAAAGAAATAATTCAACAAGAAAATGAACACGGGAATGACGTCGTTGTCGTAGTTAGAAATGAACAGACACAAGAGGAATTGATACACTCGATGGAATTGAGCGAAGAAGTACTAAGGGGAGTCTACCAAGAATGGTTTGATAGGAAAAATGAATTGGAAAAACAGTTGAAGGAAGAGAAACTCAGAAATCGGACAGACTTGAACAGTAAAGTCAAGAAGTGGAACTTGGTCAAGGCCGGAGTCGGACAGATCAAACCAGAGAACGAGAAATTCGAAGAGAAAAACGAGAAGGAGAAGGACGAAATAATCAGAGAGGAGGACAGCATCACGTGGGGATATCAGGAAGTCATGACGGAAATGACACAGAGGATGTACAATACCCAAAAGAGTATGGCGGAAGCGACACAGAAGAAGATGGTGGAGATTATCGAGATCCAAGATGAGATTGAAAAAAATGAGAAGCAGCAGAACGAAAATGAGAAGATTGAAAATAATGAGAGGGCGGACGGAATAAACGGATTTAAGAGGGCGGAAAATTTCGTGAAAAACAGCGTGATCACCCAAAATGAGCTCAATCATGTTCTCAGGTGGGAAAAACCAAGAGCTCTTGTCTTGTATAACTGCTCGTTATGGGTTACAAGAGTTGTTGAAACATATGCACTAAGACAAGAAGAAGACGTCAGATGTTATATGTTGACTTACTCGGGGTCGTACGAGAGTTTAAAGTACCAACAGTCGATTCGAAGAGAAAAGAAAGCGTTTGAGGATTTGATTAAAAAAGAGGTTGAGCATAAGAACGACAAGCCCGTTGAGGTCGTTGCAAACGTCAAGAACCGAACAAAGGCTATTATTGTGGACATTAGAGAGTTTAGGTGCGAATTGCCATTTCAGTTGTTTAAAAGTGGATTCAAGTTGATACCGAAGCAAATTGAAATTGGTGATTATATCCTCTCTCCAAACATAGTCGTCGAGAGAAAGTCTGCAATTGATTTGGTTGGTTCCTTAAAGTCAAAAAGAGTGAATAAACAAATACAAAACATGAGTAGAAAATACGAGACGATTGTGTTACTTATTGAGTGTTATAACTCTGAAAATTTTGATGTTTGTTGATATTCTTTGACAACTTCCACTGGTGGACGATAAAGTTAATGACTTTTAGGAGTACGACGTGAGCAAAACAGAGCAAACGATTCGGATGTACATTCCACAAATCACCGAGTTGACAACCGAATTTCCACGAGTGAAAATTGTGTGGACATACTCTCCACAAATGACTGCAAATATCTTTGACACTCTGAAAAAAAACGAACGAGAACCGACAGAGGAAGATTGCAAATTCATTGACGAGGAGAACGAACAGATCAACTGGAACGCACTGGAGGTCGTCAAGCGTCTTCCAGGAATACCCATCGACAAAGTGTATGATTTACAAAACACACCAAATCTCTCAATCAGTCGCATGATGGCAATGAACGAAACGCAACTGTCTGAGATTCTTGGCGACAAAGAGAAGGCTTCCCAATTTCTTGCTGGTTGCAATTTTGAGTTCAAGTGAGAATTTTAATTTGAATGATTTTAATTTTTTATTTTCAAAGAATTGTTTTTTCTCCTCAGTTGAATTTAGATGTATTAATATGTATAATATAATTATAACAATATATTAGTACATTTAAAAAAAAGAGAGTTATACTTGCTTGTATAATTACTATATTAGTTGTATCAATATATAACAAAGTATAGTTAAAATATTATAATTAAATAATTAAACGATTTCATTGAAAAAAAAGGAAGACAAATTCTAGAATAATAAGTTAAAAGAACAAGTAAGAATAGTTTTTGAAGCTAAAAAACCTACCAAGCAAAGAAACTAGAGAGGAAATACCCTCAAAGAACTTAAAAAATGCACAAGAGAGAGATATGAGCAAAATCCTTGCACCAGGCCGCGTAGTTATTCTTCTCTCTGGGAGATATGCTGGAAAGAAAGCAGTGATCTCCTCCGTGAATCTTCAAAAGACTAAAGATAGAGACTACGGATTTGTGACAGTTGTCGGCGTTGAAAGAGCTCCATTGAAGATCACACGTGCTATGAGTGACACCGTTCAAAGACTTAGAACTTCCGTCAAGGCGTTCTGCAAAGTCGTTAACGTCAACCATTTGATGCCAACCAAATACACTGTCAACCTCGACCAACTCAACTTAATTAAGGACGTCAAAATTAACACCTTCGAAGCTGGTAAACCATACCCAATCGCTACCAAGAAAGCTCTTAGCTCGCAATTCGCTGAGGTCTACAGAAATGGTAAGGAATCCTGGTTGTTCACTAAGTTGAGATTCTAAAGCAAAGGATTATTGAATTTGTCCGTCGCGACTTCTTTTACTTTCCTTTCTAATCAGGTTCCTTTTTTTGACATGTAAATGTTATATATAACAAAAAATATTAAACG